AAGCGGACCTGACCTAGGGAGGATTTTATTTGGGGTTTATCTTTTAACAATTTGACAGAGACACAACTTTAAAATTTGATTTAATTCGGTTTTATCGGGGGGGAATGTATTTATGTTTTGTTTTAAATATGTTGTGCGCCGCCCTGAGTCCCGTTGGGAGAAGGGCGGCATATAAATTAAATTTATTATTATTATTAAAGTTGCAGAGGTTGAGAAACACTGGCATAATTGTTTGTGTGCTTCATAAACTAAGGTTCAGAGCGAGGCAGCTGTTTTAAGTGAGTCAGGTTTTGGCCATCATAAGGGCGAAATAATAATAATTAATAATTAATAATTAATAATTAATAATTAATAATTAATAATAATAATAATAATAATAATAATAATAATAATAATAATAATAATAATAATAATAATAATAATAATAATAATAAAGTCGGAAGGGACTTTGGAGGTCATCGAGTCCAACCCCCTGCTCAGGCAGGAAATCCTACACCATTTCGGACAGATGGCTGTCCAGTCTCTTCTTAACAACTTCCAGTGTTGGAGCATTCACCGCTTCTGGAGGCAGGTTGTTCCACTGGCTAATTGTTCTAACTGCCAGGAAGCTGCTACTCAGCTCTCTCCAAAAGACTAGAGATGTGTGAATGAAGGCCCAACTTTTGCCCTTTTCCAAAGGACCTCCATCCTGCTTCCTTTTGGCAACTCGCACAACTACGAGTAGTCCTTGACTTATGACCACAACTGAGGCCAAAGTTTGTGTTGTGAGACAGTTGTTAAGTGAGTTTTGCCCCATTTCACGACAGTTCTTGCCATTGTTGTTAAGTGAATCACTGCAGTTGTTAAGTTAGGAACACAGCAGTTAAGTGAATCTGGCACCCCCATTGACCTTGCTTGTCAGAAGGTCGCAAAAGGGGATCACGTGACCCCGGGACCCTGCAACCGTCGTAAATAGGAATCAGTTGCCAAGTGTCTGAATGTTGGTCACATGACCGTGGGGATGCTGCAATGGTCGTAAGTGTGAAAAATGGTCCTAAGTCACTTTTTCCAGTGCTGTTGTAACACTGAATGGCCACTAAATGAACGTAAGCTGCGGACTATCTGCACATGCCCCTAAACACCCTTGTTTTTTTTTTACCGGGTCCTTTTCCAAGGCCTCGAGGAGAATCTTCCGCGCTTTGGTCAGGTTCTTCTGCACCTTGAGCACCTGCCGAGCCAGCTTGACGGAGTAGAAGGAGGAGATGGGCATCCCCTCGTTGTCCCGTATGGCTTCCATCAGGAGGGCCTCTGCCATGTCCACGTTCCCCAGCCGACGTTCCAGGCTCACCCGCCGCAAACGCACCATGACCAGGCCGGGCACGTAGTCCTCAAAGGTCTTCAAGATACGCCGGGCTTCATCCACCTCTCCTGCGGGAACACACGGAGGGACATCTTCAATACAGGCAGTCCTCTGCTCACCACCACCAGGGAGTTGCTAATTCCTGTTGCTAAGTGAGACATTTGTTCAGTGAGTTTTGCCCCATTTTGCGACCTTTTTTGCCCTGTGGTTAAGTGAATCACTGCAGCTGTTAAGTTAGTAACAGGGCTGTCAAGCGAATCTGACTTCCCCTCAACTGAAACGACCAGTCTTCAAGTTGGTAGTATTTATACTAAGTCAACGGTTCGCAGGCTTAAAACTAGTGCACAATGATTTACTTGATAACATACAACTCCTGATAGATATCTTCGTAGTGGTTAAACCCCGGAGTCTAATAATTGAGTCTATAATAGATCAATCCAACCATTCTCCTTACCTCTGATTTGACGTGCGTGAGCGTCTTAAGGGAACTAGGTCTGTCGAGCCTAATGAAGAAAAGAATTCTGTCTTCCAGTAATTCAGGGGCTGCCAACAGAGAAGACAGGCTCCATTTATTCTCCATAGCATCAGAGGACAAGAAGGAATGGATGGAAGCTCGTTAAGGAGAGAACCAACCTGGAACAAAGGAGAAATTTCTTAACAGCGAGAACAATGGGAACGGCTTGTCCCTGGAGTTGTGTGGGGTCCATCACTGGAGGCTTTCAAGAACCGATTGGACAACCATTTGTCCACATGGTGTAAGATCTCCTGCCTTGGGTAAGAGATTGAACTAAAAGCTGTTCCACTGACTAATTGTTCTCGCTGGCAGGAAATTTCTCCTTAGTTCCAGGTTGGATTTACGATATGATTGCCTTGGATAATAATAACATCTTGAAATTCAGCAAGTCTTAGGAAGAGACAACTAGGACAGAGGTCCCCAACCTTTTGGGCACCAGGGACCGGTTCTGTGGAGAGAAGATTTTCCACAGACCGGAGGGTGCGTGGTTTTGTGGGCTGCCTGCATCTCGCAGATGGGGCTTTGCTTGTTTGTGAGGACCAGTTGCTGCCATGCCTGGCCTGGTACTACTGGTCCACGGACCGGGGGTTGGGGACCCCTGAATTAGGAGATAAGCCCACAATGTTTCTTCCACCATCCTGTCTTCTCTTGGCCAAAGCAGATAAGATTGAAGAAGTCTGAATTATTCTTTCTGAACAAAATCCTAAACTTTAATCAATGACTAACATCCAGGGATCTCTAAGTTAACCCAGTTAATATTATCATGTCCTTTGTCTCTCTCTCTGGATGAGAGTTTGTCCACTTTGGCAACTTGAAGACGTGTGGACTTCGACTCCCAGAATTCACCAACCAGCATGGGACTTAAAATCCACACATGTTCAAGTGGCTATGGTTCAGCAAACCTGCTCCAGATGTTAGAAGTGACACACGAGTAAAGAAGAGGTGTGTGCATACCTATGGTTATGGGCACATGCAGGCTAGGAAATAGGTGTTGTTCACAACACACAGGTAGTACTTGACTTAGGAGCAGAGCTGAGACAGAATTTCCATTGCTAAGTGAGGCAGTTGTTAGGCGAGTCACGTACAATTTAAAGACATTTTTCCCCGTGGTTGTTAAGCGAATCACTGCAGTTGCTAACTAAATCACAGGGTTGTTAATTGAATGCAGCTTCCCCCACTGACTTTGCTTGTTCCTCACCTTGTTTCTCCTCAAATGCTGCCCACAAGAGGTGAATGTTGGGCTTACGAGGCAGATGGTAACAGCAAGCTCGCTGGAAAACACTCCGGGCTCCAGCTATGCTGTGGTTCTCCAGGTACCTGATATACTAAATTAAGGAAAGAAGGAGGGACAATAGGGGAAAACATCAGAAAAAAGTGGTTTTATAGTTGCAAAGATAAAGATGGATGCTTCATAGGGCAATATTTACTCAACCTGACCCTAGAGCAGCCTTTCCCAAGCTATGTGGACTTCAACTTCCAGAATTCCCCAGCCAGCCATGCTGGCTGAGGAATTCTGGGAGGTGAAGTCCACGAGTCTTAAGGTTGCCAAGTTTGGAGACCCCTGGGCTAGAATCAGCCATGCTGACTGGGGAATTCTGGGAGTTGGAAGTTCACCTATCTTCAACTAGCCAAGGTTGAGAAACATTGCTCCAGAGTGTCTTCTGTTCTAAGAAAAATAAATGCCTGTCCTTTAGGGGGCCTCCGAATGATCGGCTTCCCACCCCCCACAGATTAATTCTGAATGGATCCTAGTACTGTCCCTCAGCACCAATTCAAAACACGCTCAGCTCAACAAGGGGACACTTGTTGGCAGGTTTCAAAACAAAAGGGGTAGCGCTGGCTCAGAGGCTGTCAAAGGGGCCACCAAAGAGAGCTGCTCCCCGTGACCTGCCTCCAGAAATTGTGGCTGCTCCAACGTTGGAGAGTTTTAAGAAGAGATCAGACAATTGTTTGTCTGAAATGGTACAGGGTTTCCTGCCTGAGCAGGAGGTTGGGCTAGAGCTCCCACCCTCTGGAACGAACTGCCCCCAGAGATCAGGGTGATCCCTGATCTCCCTTCCTTCCGCCGCGCCCTCAAGACATGGTTGTTCCAGCTTGCGGGACTGGCCTAAGGGATTTTAAAGGGGTTTTAATTATTTTTAATTCGGATCAGATTTAAATATTTCTTTTTAATTAATTTTAAATGTGTACTGTATTTTTGTATTTTATCTGATTGTTAGCCGCCCTGAGTCCGTAAGGAGAAGGGCGGGATATAAATGTAATAAAATAAAATAAATAAAATAAATAAATAGAACAGTAGTGGCGAACCTATGGCACGGCTGCCAGAGGAGGCACTCAGAGCCCTCTCTGTGGGCACGCGCACCGTCGCCCCAGTCCTAGGCCTTCAGCTGGGTTTTATAAAACCTTTTCGCTTTAGGCCTCCACTGCCGTGTACAAAAAAAAAAAAGGTTCAATCAATCAATTTCAACTTCTTGTGGGGAAAAAAAAAGATCTTGCAAAGTTGAAATTGATTGATTAAACTTTTTAGTCCCACCCAGTCTGCTGTTACCACTGCAGCCACGCCCACCCAATGGGCCACACTAACCCTAACCCTAATCAATTGATTGATTGAACTTTTTAGTCCCACCCAGTCTGTCGTTACCACTGCAGCCACGCCCACCCAATGGGCCACACCCAGCCAATGGGCCTCACCCACCCAATGGGCCACATTCACCCGGCACTCGACGACGCATAAGTGGGTTTTGGGTTGCAGTTTGGGCACTCGGTCTCTAAAAGGTTCACCATCACTGGGCTAGAAGACCTCCAGAGTTCCTCCCACCTCTGGTCATTCTGTCATGCCCTGAGCAGGCGGAGCAGAGCGAGAGACCCACTTAGCCTAGCTGACCTTGAGCCAGAACTCCTCGTAGAGGGCACAAGCGATGACGCAGCGCTCAAAGAGCACGATGGTGCGCTCGTGCGAACCGCTGGCGATCTCGAAGTCCAGGTAGTCCCGCCAGTTCCGCAGCTGCGCTCGCTCCAGCGGCTTCACGTGGAAGTAGGGCCTCTTGATCTAAGGGGAAATGGGACGGCGCTACAATTAGCACAGAGAAGCCGAGACAAACCAGCATTACTCAAGAATTAAAGTACGGGTAGTCCTTGACGTATGACCACAATTGAGCTGAAAATTTCCATGGCTAAGCAAGACATTGATTCTTGCCAAAGTTGTGAAGGGAACCACTGCAGGTGTTAAGTTAGTCACACGGCGGTTAAGTGAACCGGGCTTCCCCCGTTGACTTTGCTTGCCAGGAGGTCGCAAAAGGGGGTCACGTGACCCCCCCGGGACTCTGCAACCGTCATAAATATGAGTCAGTTGCCAACTGGCTGAATTTTGATCATGTGACCATGGGGACGAGGCAACGATTTTTAAGTGTGGAAAAACGGTCGTCCCTTTTTTCAGTCCCATTGTTAACGTTGAGCGGTCATTAAACAAATGGGAGCATTCCCACATACATGTGATCAAAATTCAGGCCCTTGGCAACCAACATGTGTTTTACAACGGTTGCAGCGTGCTGAAGTCACGCAATCAGCATTTGCGACCTTCCCAACCAGCTTCTGACAAGCAAAGTCAAGAGGGGTTCACTTAAGGATTGTGTGATTCACTTAACAACTGCAGCAATCTGCGTAACCATCGTGGCAAAATCGGCCACGAAATCAGGCACGACTCACTTAACTTAGCCTTGCTTAGTGATGGAAATTCTGTTCCCAATTATGGTTGTAGGTCCTGGACTACCTGTAGACATGACATCGAGGCGAGCAAGAGCACAAAGTGGCTGTCAGACCTGCCCCAGTTGGGTCCCTCGGAAAGAAAGACCCTCGACTCTATTTGGATGAAGTGATAGGTTCTTTTACTAAGGGTTAGTAGCTGCAGCAAAAGCAAGGCTGGATCTGAGTATTCCTGCGCAAAAGTAACAAGGTTTTCCCTTTCTTTAGCCCTCCCCCTTTGACCGATAGTCAGTGTCCAATGGTGGTGTGATGTTTTGGGAACCACTTTTAATGTCAGGCGTGTCTTGAAGAGGTTTGACATTCTTTCCCAGGCCAGGTGTCCGTGGGCGGTGCATTTCAATCCCCCACCCTTGCATCCTTCTCTTTTCCTCCTGCACAATTTCCCCAAGATTCCTCTGCCCCCCCCATTTATGGCAGGATGCCAGCAAGCACAACGAAGTATAGCAAAGATGACAGAGGTGACAGTGGCTTCCATGTTCCACTTGACTGATCCACTTCAAAAAAACGGGAGTGGACCAGGCTGAAGATAGTCCAATATTTCAGCTCGACTGCGCATATAAACACCTGGCTGCTCATGAATTACAGCAACATTTTAGAGGTTGTGGTGCATCTAACCTTAACCCTGCACAAACAGTAGAGAAAATCTCTCAAGATGGGTGAAGGTCTTCTTAGACCAGTGTTTTTCAGCCTCAGCAGTTTGAAGATGGGTGGACTTTAATACCCAGAATTTCCCAGCCAGCTTTCCACCTGTCAACCATCCCACTCAGAAATCTAGTAAAAAAAAGACCCCTGGCTGTTTATTTATTATTTTACTATACTGAAGCTTAATTGCTTGCTGAAGGAGCTAAACTGAATTTGAGGTCTTCCTGTGCAAACAACTGCAAAGTAAATTTTCCTCTCCCCCCCCCCTCTGGAGTATCTGTAAATGTCCAATTAGGTGCTTGTATATTGTTTAGGAAATAGGTTCTTGGTTCCCAGCTCTGCATATCCATAATTGGCCTTGGCTGACTGAAATTTCTCACACAGCTCCATTTCCCCCCCCCCCCGCTTCTTCCTCCTTATAGTCCAATCTTTCTCTCTCCCTCCTCCCCACCCACCCCCGTTGCTAATGTCAGGCTTTCAGCTCATGAAGCTTAGATAGGAGAGACGCATCCATGACACCACCCATCTTCAAACTGTCCAGGCTGAGAAACACTGTGTAGACTCTTTACTGATAGGAAACAGGCCAAGTCCTAATAAAAAGCCGCCCCCCCAAATTCCCTCTGAATTCCCTGCCTAGCTCTGCCAGCAGATACTCAAGCTTCCTTCCCACCCCCTCGGGTTGAGGAATCCGATTTGTTTGCGCACACACCCCATCCTCAAAATTCCAGCGCTTGCTAACTTCGGCTTCGTTCTGACTGAAGATCTGTTGGCGGATCGAAATCGACTGTTCCAGGACTTTCTCGTGGTCCAGCGTCCCCTGAAATCCAAGAAGAGATGAAATCAGGGACATCGAGAGAATCCTTAGGAAAAGAAGTGGTGAACTGGAATCGGATCCAAGCAACTTCCCACTGGCATTTCTGTTTTATTGTGTATTTGCTTTTTACTTAAATTTATTTATATTCCGCCTTTACAGGCAGTCCTTGACTTCCAACCCTTCATTTAGTGACCCTTCAAAGTTTCAACGCCAGTGAAAAAAGTGACTTAGGACCACTTTTCACGCTTACGACCGTTGCAGCCTCCCCGTGGTCACGTGATTAAAATTCAGACGCTTGGCAACAGTGAGGACAATTAACCAGTGGAATGGCTTGCCTTCAGAAGTTGTCAATGTTCCAACACTGGAGGTTTTTAAGAAGAGATTGAAGAGCCCCTTGTCTGAAATGGTTTAGGGCAGTGGTGGCGAACCTATGGCACGGGTGCCAGAGGCGGCACTCAGAGCCCTCTCTGTGGGCACATGCGCTGTCGCCCCAGTCCTAGGCCTTCAGCTGGGTTTTTATAAAACCTTTTCGCTTTAGGCCTCTGCCGCTGTGTGCAAAAAAAAAAAGGTTCAATCTATCAGTCAATTTCAACTTCTCGCGGGGAAAAAAAAGATCTTGCAAAGTTGGAATTGATTGATTGAACTTTTTCGTCCCACCCAGTCTGCCGTTACCACTGCAGCCACGCCCACCCAATGGGCCACACCCACCCGGCACTCGATGATGCATAAGTGGGTTTTGGGTTGCACTTTGGGCACTCGGTCTCTAAAAGGTTCGCCATCACTGGTTTAGGGTCTCCTGCTTGAGCAGGGGGTTGGACTAGAAGACCTCCAAGGTCCCTTCCAGCTCTATTCTAATTGATTGACTGACTACCTGTATTCTGATGGCTTTGTGACTTCCGCCACTGCCCACTTCCCTAGCTCTGGCTATGGGTTGGTTCGGGGAAGACCAATAGGGAAGATCCCAGCCCAGACTGGGACACTGCGAAGACATGGACCCACCAACACCTGACTCCCGTCTACGATCTCCTGCTTGCTTTCCGCCTTCAGAGGCAGGTCTTCTCCAGGTGGTGCTTCTTCCTCGGCTTCCACCTCCGTCGTCTTGGGGGCCGTGTCGGAGGCCATCTTGGACTGCATCCACAGCAGCTCTTCTATGGAGAGAATGTCAGCCGGGGAATGGCTGGACAGATGGTCCTTGAAGCTGTTCGGAAGAAAAGAGGGCTTTCCAGAGAGCGGCTACAGGTAGTCCTCGACTTACAACCTTTTGGTCCAAGTTACAACGGCACGGAAAAAAGTGACCTACGACCATTTTTCACACTTCTGACCGTTGCAGCATCCCCAGGGTCAGGTGATCAAAATTCAGACACTTGGCCATTGACTCGTATTTACGACGGTCGCCGTGTCCCGGGGTCACGTGATCCCCTCTCGCGACCTTCTGACAAGCAAAGTCAATGGGGGAAGCCGGATTCACTTAACAACCACATGCTTAACAACGGCAGTGATTCACTTATCAACTCTGGTAGAAGGGGATACAAAATGGAGCAAAACTCACCTAACGACTGCCTTGCTTAGCAATGGAAATGTTGGACTCCCATTGTGGTCATAAATCAAGGGCTGCCTGTAGAGGTAGTATACCACAACTGCAACCAGAATTGCCACTGTTAAGCAAGGGGGTTGTTAAGTGAGTCGCACCCAATTTAACGACCTTTTTTGCCGTGGTTCTTAAGAGAATCAGTGCAGTTCTTAAGGGAATCACATGTCCATTAAACAAATCTAGCTTCCCCCATTGATTTTCTGTTAGAGGCTGGCTGGGAAGGTTACAAATGGAGGTCCTGGGACCGCTGGGATCCTGCCACCATTGTAGGTATTGTTGACCAGGAATCAGAAGAAAGCTTAGATTGGGAATAGTTGCCTATGGCCCCACTGTGTCTGGGGGCTTCCAGGGTCATGGGTGCAAGGCCACGGGAGGTCAGCCAAGGAAACACCCAATGTCCCAGACACCCCAAAACAGTCAGTGTCATTAACGAACTACCCAAAAGAACATCTTTGGCTATTTCTGTTCTTCCTTATCTTACCTAGAAGTGTGCCAGCCAGCTTTGCTGGGTGGATTGTTTACATAATCAAAAAGTATAAATGCAAGGATTTCTTCTCATTCAGGGCTTCCTCTTTTTTAGAGGGGCCTGTCTTTGTTCAGCTGAATAAACATGCAAAGCTTAAAAGCCACACCTCAGATCCTGCACAACATATATGCAGATGACCCGGCGGAGCGTGAAGGAGGGGTCAAGCACGTCATCAGTTTGGAGTCACTTTGTGCCTACAAGAGACCTAACTCCAGCCCTCGTTGAATTTCATTGACTCTTTATCTGCTACCAATTTGCTTTGACCACTCGTAGCACAGACTCTTGTTGAGGGCAACAGCAATAGCACTCAGGCTTTTATAGCGCTTCACAGACTCAGCTTCTTGCTCCTCCCCCCCCCAAACAATCTGGGTCCTCATTTTACCGACCTCGGAAGGATGGAAGGCCGAGTCAGCCTTCAGGCTGGTGAGAATGCGTGGTCAGAGTTCCCCACCTCCCACCTGATAGCAGAGCTGGAATAATGCCCTATGGTTTTAAAAAATGGGTTGTCATTAGATGCTGGATGGCCCCCTGAGCAAGCACAGAGTGCTGTCCCCCTTGACTTTGAGTAGTTGTGGGGGAGCAACTGGCATTGGAGGATTAGACCAAACATGTTTATTCTGTGAGGACTTCCTGGATTTGGGATTGTTGCAGTGTTAATTACAGTCTCTAAATCTTGTGAAGCAATAGCAATAGCATTTATATACCGCTTCACGGTGCTTTACAGCCCTCTCTAAGCGGTTTACAGAGCCAGCATATTTGCCCCGAACAATCTGGGTCCTCATTTTACCAACCTCGGAAGGATGGAAGGCTGAATCAACCTTGAGCCTGTCAGGATCGAACTCTTGGCAGCCGGCAGAGTTAGCCTACAATGCTGCATTCTAACCACTGCGCCACCACGGCTCATAAGAGACACATGGAACAAGCTTGTATTTATCTGAACAACCTGGATTCTGGATTTCTTGTGCCTGATATATATATATATATATATCAGTTGTCAAGCGTCCACATTTTGATCCTATGAATGTGGGGAAATTGCAACAATCGTATGTGCAAGGCCCGGTTGTGAGTCAGCTTTTTCAGTGTTGTTGTAACTTCTAACAATCGCTAATCGAATGGTTGTTGAGTCGAGGATTACCTATAATTCGCAATGCCTCTGCCAAAGGCTGGTCTGGAGAATGTCACTGCAGAACCCGGAGGCAGGCATGCCCCCGACGCAAACACCCCAAGTCTCGCACTTACTTTTCCCAGTGGTGGCTGTACAGCTGGGTGGGAGTCGTCAGCACCCTGTCGTAAATGCCAGTGACGGCCTTCAGGTCCCCCTGCTCCTTCTGCCATTCCACGTACATCTCCCAGAGCTTGTCCGAACGGAAATCTACTCCCGCGGCAGCCACAGCGGCCTCAAAAGTGCTGCAGAGAAGACAGATAGCAATAGCTGTTCCACTTTACAAGGTAAGACCACGGGGATGCTGTGAGGGTCATACGTAAAAGGACCAATATGAGGACCATTACAAAAAAGATGTTGAGACTTTGGGAAAAGTGCAAAGAAGAGCAACTAAGATGATTAAAGACCTGGAAACTAAAACATATGAAGAACGGCTGCAGGACCTGGGTTTGGCTAGTCTAGTGAAAAGAAGGATGGGGGTGCCATGATAGCAGTCTTTCAATATTTGAGGAGCTCCCACAAAGAAGAGGGAGTCAACCTATTCACCAAAGCACCAGAGGGCAGGACAAGAAACAATGGATGCAAACTAATCAAAGAGAGAAACAACCTGGAACTAAGGAGAAACTTCCAAACAGTGAGAACAATTAACTGCTTGCCTTCAGAGGTTGTGGGTGCTTCATCACTGGAGGTTTTTAACAAGAGACTGGACAGTCACCTGTCTGAAATGGCATAGGGTCTCCCACTTGAGCAGGGGGTTGGACTAGAAGACCTCCAAGGTCCCTTCCAATTCTGTTGTTCTGTTAAATACACCCACAACAGAGCCTTGCAGTGTAGATTCACACCCTAAGCATGAAAGCCGGCTGGATCACTTTGGGCTGATCATCAGGGGGATGTGAGTTCTAGTCCTTCCTTAGGCCAGAAAGTTGGCTGAGGGACTTTGGCCAGTCCTTCTTTCTCAGCCCAATCCACCTCACAGAGTTGTTGCGTGGGAAAATAGAAGGAATAAGGCACCCGGCCTAGATATATTCACTGGCTCGATTTATTTATAAAGTAATAAAGACAGGATAAAAATGTAATATATATTTGGGAATGCTCAGTTTGGGAGGACTGGACTCTGGGACACCATGGCGTGGGGAGGGGATTCCTGTCCCTTCTAGCGCTGCGTACACAGGTAGTCCTCAACTTATGACCACAACTGAGCCCAAAATTTCCATTGCTAAGTGAGACACTTGTTAAGTGAGTTTTGCCCCATTTTACACCACAGTTGTTAAGAGAATCACTTCAGTTAAGTTAGTAACATGGTTGCTAAGTGAATCTGGCTTCCCCTTTGACTTTGCTTGGCAGACGGTCGCCAAAGGGGATCACGGGACCCCACGGGACACTGCAACTGTCATAAATATGAGTCAGTTGCCAAGCGGCTGAATTTTGATCAGGTGACCATGGAGATGCTACAACGGCCGTGTGAAAAACGGTCATGAGTTGCTTTTTTTCAGTGTCGTTGTAACTTTGAACAGTCACTAAATGAACCGTTGTGAGTTGAGGACTGCCTGCATTTTTTAAAGCAGGATTGAACTTGTCTTTTCCCCCCCTCTTCTGTTGGCTAAAACGGCCAGAGGGCGATCCATGTTTTAAGCTTGGTACAGAAGGAAAGACTGAAGCTGCGTTTTCCAAGCACACCTTCACGGCTTCGCCTAGCTGACTATAGATCAGGGCTTTTCAACCAGTGGTACGGGTACCACCTGGGGTACATTGCCACCTGGCAGGTGGGACGCGACCATCCTAGAAAAGTGGTAGTGGGGGAGGGGAATGAGCTGAACCGGTGGCAGCACCACACAAGCCCGAGCGAGAGACGGCTGGAGCTGCAGGGCTGTCAGGGCTCAGCGGAAGCGGCAGGATCAGTGCCAGGGTCCAGCTGGAGCTCGGCACTGATCCTGGTGCTTCTGCTGAGCCCTGAAGAAGCACCAATCAGCTGGAGCTCAGCGCTGATCCTGGTGCTTCTGCTGAGCCCAGAAGAAGCACCAATCAGCTGGAGCTCAGCGCTGATCCTGGTGCTTCTGCTGAGCCCAGAAGAAGCGCCGATCAGCTGGAATGTTGCAGCCTCTCCAGGGTCTTGTGATTTACATTCAGGTGCTTGGCAACCGATTCATATTTATGACGGTCACAGTGTCCCAGGGTCCTGTGAAGTGACCAAAACCTGCTGCAACCACCCAGCAGACGGGGGGGAATAAAAACCAAACACCCCCCCACCCCACCCCCGCTGCCAATCCTCAACAGAAATGCTCACAACAATGGAAACCTCGGACAGGAGGAAGAGCGGCCACCAGGTGGGCAGGCAGGCGTCTTGCTCAGCTGTGGCTTGGGGGGCACTTTTTTAAGTGCCATTGTAACTTCAAACAGTCAGTAAGCGAACTGTTATAAGTTGAGGACTACCTGTACATCACTTCCCCCCCCTTTTTTTTGGGTCATCAAGTTTTTGACACCTTGCTAGGCGACTGGTGGTACTCGGATGTTGCCATATCCTAAAAGTGGTACAATGGGTGAAAAGGTTGAAAAGCCCTGCTATAGATGGATGTGGAAGCTAAGCAGTGCTGGACCTGGTTAGTCTCTGGATGGGGGACCAACTGCAAATCTCAGAGCTGGAGGTTTGAGAGGGAGCGTCCGTGAAGTGAACCGGAGTTGAGCTTATCCCAAAACGATATTTTCTATTTCACATTCTCCTGTATTCAAAGCAGCAGCCATGTCAAACAGGCCTGAGGAGGAAGAACTGACTTTTGGAGGAAAAAAAAACAGGAGGACAAGATGGAGGAATCAATGCCCTGGGTGACTCCTGTCCAAGTTTCAGTTGCCGCTCAAAAGCTCCCCCACGACCTACCCACAAATTTTCTGAGCTGAATCGGGTTGATTCATATCCAGGCTGGACTGCAGGAAAGAGATGTAATGGATCCAGAGGTCCATGCTGAGAGGGATGGACTGCAACCCTCGCTGGAAAACCTGCAGGGCAGCAGAGAAAATAAACCTTTAGGGGAGTCTTTCTGAGAATTAAAAGTTTTTTTCACGCTAACCTTTCAGATCCCCACATTTGCTCTACAACACAGCAGGGGCCAATAGGAGGAGATAACCAGATGCTGTGGACAGAGTAGGGCGATACCAAATTAAGAAAAAAATAAAAAATAAAAAGCTTTGGCATTTTCCAGAATTTTTTCTTCAGGTGATTGTAAAAAATGGTGAGCATCCACAAGGGAAGAAATAAAGAAATGTTATTTTCCCTAGCTTTGGAATTCTCTATCCACAAGATCCTGTTCCATTACCCACCACGGCCGTGCCCACAGGTACCCTGGCTTCGTTACTAGGGCTCTACTCCAGAGCAGCGTTTCATAACCGTGGTCACTTTAAGGTGGACGGACTTCAATTCCTAGAGTTCCCCAGCCAGTTACTTTTGGCTGGGGAATTCTGGGAATTGAAGTCCACCCTCTTAAACCATGCTACCTGGGGAATTCTGGGAGTTGAAGTCCACCTGGCTTAAGATATGCTGGCTGGGGAATTCTGGGAATTGAAGTCCTCCCGTTAAATCATGCTGGCTAGGGAATTCTGGGAGTTGAAGCCCACCCATTTTAAACCATGCTACCTGGGGAATTCTGGGAGTTGAAGTCCACCTGGCTTAAGGTATGCTGGCTGGGGAATTCTGGGAATTGAAGTCCTCCCATTAAACCATGCTGGCTGGGGAATTCTGGGAGTTGAAGTCCACTCTCTTAAACCATGCTACCTGGGGAATTCTGGGAATTGAAGTCCTCCCATTAAACCATGCTGGCTGGGGAATTCTGGGAGTTGAAGCCCACCCATCTTAAACCATGCTAGCTGGGGAATTCTGGGAATTGAAGTCCTCCCCTGTTAAACCATGCTAGCTAGGGAATTCTGGGAGTTGAAGCCCACCCATCTTAACGTTGCTAAGGTTGAGAAAGATTTCTCCAGAGGTAAACTGAGATGTTTCATTTCACATTCAAATATGCTAAGAAAACCCCCATGTCTCTAAGCATGCTCTAAAATAGACTCAGCTCTTCTTGTCTGATTTTTCAAAATCTGGAACTAGCTTGTCTCACTGAGTTGGGCCCAGAGTTCTAATACAGGGCATGTTGCCACTTGTCCTTGGTGGGCCAGGACACGGATGCGCCATGCACAATGTCCACTGTTAACAGGATACCTCCTCAGTCTCCTTGATGAAGTCAAAGCGTCGTTCCATGTCTGCGTACTTCTTCCAGTAGCCGTAGCAGTAAGGGTACCTCAGGAAGAAGTTATCGAAAGCTTTGCGGGCGGCATAGATGTGATTCTGCAAGCACAGACAAAAGCTGGGATGGTTTTGAGAGGGACACAGGAAAACACAAAACACAGCAACAGTGCAAAGGCAGCGCAGGAAACTAAGATAGAAGAGGAGCCAAAATGTGGCCTCACGCGAGCCAGTTGTCGTTTATTTAGTAGCCATGCATTAAGCAGACTGTGGTTTAGCATTGCTGCTAGTCCTTGTCTGACAAAGCTAATTTTGGACCAGAGGTTCCATTAAGGGATGTGGTTCTAAGTGGAGAAAACATGTCAATGCCTCAGTTAGTAACGACAGCGCCAGCAGTATCTGCTGTGTTCATGACCATAACTTCCTGCTGGCTTCCCCACTGACTCTGCGGGAAGCTGCCAGGGAATGTCACAAATCACGATCACATGACTGTAGGGGCAGCCATCAGTATGAGGTCTGATCGTAACTCCCCCTTGTTTGGTGGCTGTCAGGCCCAAGCACAAGGACGTCACAGTGAAATCCAATTGAGTCAAATTCTTCATTTGCTTAATCTAATGGGCAGAATCTGACCAGAGTAAACATATAACTTTCTAACCCATTAGATGTATCCTGAGATATTCTAGGGAGTGGCTACCTTCAATTCCCATCTAGAATAACAAAATAACAGAGTTGGAAGGGACCTTGGAGGTCTTCTAGTCCAACCTTAAGCTTAACAGCTATTTAACAGGCTCCACACTTTCATCGGATCCCCAGGCCCGATGCCACCAATCAATCAATCAATCAGTCAATCAATCAATCAGAATAGAGCTGGAAGGGACCTTGGAGGTCTTCTATTCCAACCCCCTGCTCAAGCAAGACACCCTATACCTTCCCAAACAAACAGCTGTCCAGTCTAGAGCACCCACAACTTCTGGAGGCAAGCTGTTCCACTGACTAATTGTTCTTACTATTAGGAAATATCTCTTTAGTTGTAGGTTGCTTCTCTCCTTGATGAGTTTATATCCATTGCTTCTTGTTTTGCCTTCAGGTGCTTGGGAGAACAGGTTGACCCCCCTCTTCTTTGTGCAAACCCCTCAAATATTAGAAGACTGCTATCGTATCACCCTTAGTCCTTCTTTTCACTAGACTAGCCATACCCAATTCCTGCTACCTTCTTCATATGTTTTAGCCTCCAGCCCCCTAATCCTCTTTCTTGCTCTTCTCTGCCACTCCAGTTTAGGACTACAGAGTCTTTTATTCTGGGCTTCTCTTTGGAATGTTCTGTCTCCTCCCTGGGAAGGTGCAGTGTGATTGTCGACATCCCCCCCCCCCACACTCTTCTCCAGCCTCCCATTCTGTTACACAATTTGATCTAGTGTGGTCATCAACTAAGCCAGGGTATCTTCCACCATGGTTGATGCAATACACTAACCATGGTTGGGCTGATGCATCTTGCTAAGCCCCAACAATCAGTTCATAGCTTTGGACACATTCATACCTCCTGTTCCACGTATTGCAACAATTCGGTCCAGGCAGTGAAGTCCAGGGGGTTCTCTTGAGTGGCTCTCCAGTAGCGCTCAAATTCCAGAGGGTAGGTGATGGAGAGATCCTCCATGGGCTGGCTCAAGGCCATCAGCATCCCTACATCTGGAGCAGGAGGCTGAGGGGTTTCTTCTCTGGCTGGCTCGGCCTGCAGGGCTGCCGTGTTGTCTTCCAGACTAACCCCATTGACCTCTTCCACCGGCATGGCCTCGTCTGGCTTGGGAGGGCCATTACTCTCCTGATTCAGAAGCACCTCTTGGTCAACGCCTGCAGATTCAGGAAGAAATTAAAAGTTTCCCAGTATTAATTTTCATTTACTTGTTGGTTAGTTCTGCACCCTGGGCTTCCTCCCGAGTTGAGGATAACTTCCTACAGAGGTAGTCCTTCATTTACAACTACAACTGGTTATAGGTTATGGTCGTTAAGAGAGGTGATCACCTTGCTTAACAACCACAATCCAGTCGTTAAGTGACTGCACAATTTGTTAAGGGGAGCAAAGGGTGCCTTAGGGGGTGAGAGACCCTCAGCTCAAGAATTCCACTTGCTTCCAAAATGACCCGATTCTGAAATGGCACCGTACTGCCTCCATTTAGGAAGGCTGCAAAGCAGATGGGCTGATTCTCCTTCCCCAAGGCAATCTCCGGAAAAGCTAAGAGGAGCATCACGGGGGAGGAGGCCCAAGAGTGTGGGACCCAGCCAGGGAAAAGGTAGACCCAAGGGACCCAATGGGGCAGGATGGGGGGGGGAAGAGATAGGTAGGTGGAGCCACTGTAGCATTCCTGCAGTCAGTCCTAAGAGTGGGTGCAGCAGCATGCTGAATGGGGAATTGCAAAACGCCCAAATTTTGTTCACATGATTGCAAGGGTGCCACAGCAGCTCTGAAAATTGGAAAATAGTCTTAAGTGCCTCCAGTCAGTGCTGTCATAACTTTGAACAATCGCTGAAGTTGTAACTTGAGAACGACCTGTATCTGATGATCAATAAATGCAAGAATGAGTGAAACCCCATATTCCATAAGTCTGTTTCGGTCAGACCTGCCCCAGTCTGATCTGCAAGGAAAGTAAAACTCTCGACTCCATTGGGTTGAAGTGAAAAGGCACTTTTACTAAGGCAGGCTGATTGCAGGAGAGTTAGGCAGAATCTGAAGTTTCCCACACATCAATACAGAACTAACCCCTTGATTCTCCCTAGCCCTCCCCGGATGGTCCCTCCATGTGTAAGCCAATCTGGCACCACTGAAATGTTTTGAGAAACGCTGAGGTGTTTAGGCTGTTGAAATTCCACTCTCAGGGCAACTGGCCTTGAAGATGCCAGTATGCCAACACAAACTGGATTCCAAACCGCTCTGTTCTTCATCAACTGTCAATCCCCCCTCCCAATAATAAAAGTATACAGCTTTATTGCCATTTGTTCCCCCCTCCCTTCCCCAATTGATGGCAGAACGCCAGCGAGGCACCAAGCCAAAGGTGATGGATCTGACAGTTTCTCTTTTCCCATTCCTGTTTGGCTTGTCATCTGCTACCTTTTATTTTTTGTTTCTTATTGTTTCAAAATGTGTTTACTTGTGAGCCATTCAGAGGTGCTGGGAGACAAGCAGCATACCCATTAAATCAATAAATCAGAAGGAGTAGGTAACACCTTTTATGACCAACACATTTTATTCAAAAGCATAACCGTGCAACTCACAAAAGTTTTTGCCTTGTAACAAACTCCTCCAGTCAGAAAAGTCGCTCCAGATGCCTCCTAATGTTTTGTTACCATAAACTTAAAATAGCTCTCCACCTATACTATCCCCATTAAGTACAGCTATTTTTAACGCTAATAGTACTTTGCTGATTAGTCAGTTGACCATATCAAAGCATCAGCATCGGCCACAGTAAGACACAGCACAGGTAGTCCTTTACTTACGACCACAAGTGAGCCCAAAATTTCTGTTGTTAAATGAGACACTTGTTAAGTGAGTTTTGTCCCATTCTACGACCTTTCTTGCTATAGTTAAGTGAATCACTACAGCTGATTAGTCACACGGTCGCTAAGTGAATCTGGCTTCCCCATTGACTTTGCTTGTTAAAAGGTTACAAAAGGGGATCACATGACCGTGGGACACTGCATCCGTCATAAATATGAGCCGGTTGCCAAGTATCCGAATTTTGATCATGTGACCATGGAATACTATAAAGATTGTAAGTGTAAAAAATGCTCATGTCACTTTTTTCAGTGCTGTTGTAACTTTGAACGGTCACTAAATGAACTGTTGTAAGTTGAGGATTAACTGTAGAATGAGGGAAAGTGAGATACAGTGAAATGGGATAAAATAGACTATGGTAAGATAAAATAAAATAAGCTGTGGTGAGATAAAGACAAACGAGTAAGCCAAAGTAGCATAACATAAAGCAGAATGTAAAAATGTATCATAAAATGAGTATTAAAATTCAAAGCAGCATGCACTTTGGTGAATTCACCACTTCTGCATGCAACCCCCGTGTGTTCTAGATAACCTTGGACAGTCCTAACCATAAAGCCCTGAGCCAGATTGGTACCCTTGTGAAGGTGCTGGCCCAGAAACCAGGAGGCGGTGAGTTCTAGTCCTGCCTCAGGCATGAAAGCTGGGTGGCTTTGGGCCAGTCCCTTTTTCTTAAACCCCCACCCCCCAGGGTTGTGGTTGTGGGGAAAATAGGAGGAGGAAAAGCTGGATTGAATTTCTTATAAGGTAACAAAGACAGAATAAAAATCCAAATAAATAAACTTAACAGTTGGACTTGGCTACACATATAGTTGCACCCAGAAGGAAATAAGATACTCTTTGGTTAAAAGCCCCAGGATATAGTTCTCTTTAAGCTGGGCTTGCAAGTCCTGAGCCCTTCCCGAAGCATCTCATTGACAACAGAATAAAACCCAGCAATGTTTCCTATTCACAAAGACACGTTCCGTATTTGATTTGTTTTTGCCTGTTTAATTTGCGTGCCTCCCTCCACCTCCTATTGTATGATCCCAAGATCATCTAGGAGACCCTCTTGGTAGGGGGCTGGATTAGAAGACCTCCAAGGTTCTGTTCTAATCTATTCTCTTCTCTTTTCTATTTCCATTCCTCTTCTCTTCTCTCTTCTCTCCTCTATTCCAGAGGTCCCCAACTTTTGGGGCACCAAGGACTGGTTCCATGGAGAAAGCTTTTTCCATGGACCAGATGGGGCTTTGTTTGTTTGTGTGGATCGGTTGCTGGCATGCCACAGCCCGGTACTGGTCCACGGACCAGGGGTTGGGGAGCCCTGCTCTATTCTATTCTATATTTTTATTCTATTCCTATTCTATTCTCTTCTCTATTCTGTCCTCTATTCTATTCTATTCTATTCCTAGTCTATTCTATTCTCTCCTCTATTCTCTTCCTATTCCTATTCCATTCCTATTCTCTTCTCTATTCTCCTCTCCTCTCTCTCTATTCTATTCCTATTCTATTCTATTCCTATTCCATTCTCTTCTCTTCTCTTCTCTATTCTGTCCTCTATTCTATTCTATTCCTAGTCTATTCTATTCTCTCCTCTATTCTCTTCCTATTCCTATTCCATTCCTATTCTCTTCTCTATTCTCCTCTCCTCTCTCTCTCTATTCTATTCCTATTCTATTCTATTCCTATTCCATTCTCTTCTCTATTCTGTCCTCTATTCTATTCTATTCCTAGTCTATTCTATTCTCTCCTCTATTCTCTTCCTATTCCTATTCCATTCCTATTCTCTTCTCTATTCTCCTCTCCTCTCTCTCTATTCTATTCCTATTCTATTCTATTCCATTCTCTTCTCTTCTCTATTCTGTCCTCTATTCTATTCTATTCCTAGTCTATTCTATTCTCTCCTCTATTCTCTTCCTATTCCTATTCCATTCCTATTCTCTTCTCTATTCTCCTCTCCTCTCCCTCTATTCTCTTCCTATTCTATTCCACTCCATTCTATTCTGATTGATAGCTGGAGCCGTGCAGGGCCCGGATCCAGGACAGCTGAGAAGAGAGCCTCCCTGTCCAGGAGCTGTCTACCATACACCCAAGTTCGGGAACTTCCGTTTTTCCTGCTGAAACTGGAGTCGGATCCAGGCCCTCCAGCCTCCCTGGGTCTCCCTAGACCAGGGGTAGTCAACCGTGGCTCTTTTATGACTCGTGGACTTCAACTCCCAGAATTCCTGAGCCAGCTAAGCTGGCTCAGGAATTCTGGGAATTGAAGTCCACGAGTCATAAAAGAGCCACGGTTGACTACCCCTGCCCTAGACTGCCTAGAGAGCCCCGGGGACCCCCTTCCCAGCCCCCCCCGCCCACCCTTCCTCCGGCATCGGAGAGTCCTGTTTCCACCCGCCCCGGGTGTCCCTCTCACCGGCTTCTGCCCCCGGGAGCTCTTCGACGCCTTCCGCCCCGGCAGGGCCCAGGGTGGCCGGCGCCTCCTCCGCTTCCTCCGCCATGTTCGCCGCAGCCGCCGAGCGCGCCGTCTCCCTCACGGATTCTCGTCGCGGGTCCGATGAGGTCACACTGCGCCTGCGCGGCCGCAATGACCCGGATATGCCGAGCAGGAAGATGTCCTCCTGGCGAATAGGCGGGAAGCTTAGGGGCAGCTCCAATAGAGAAGGGAAGGATAGAGAGGTAGGTTTCTGGAGGGAGGGGAAACCATAGAGAGGGCCGCTCTCTTCTCTTATAGATGTATAATTCAGAATCGTGGAAAAGTTAAATTCCAACTGTTTTTGTTTCGTTGCTTCCTCACCCCGTGGAAGTAAAGGCTCCCCTTGGAAGGCCGTTGAGAAATGTAAGGGTTTAGAGCAGATGCGATTGAATTAAATGACTTTTTATTTAGTATGCATAAGGCAAACCGCTCAGAGTCACTGAAAATGGGGCAGCATATAAATGTAATAAATTATTTGGTCCAAAGTTGCATTTAATCAAGCAGGTATTCCGTCTTCTCGGAGGAGTGGAAGCATGTTGGCAAGATAGAGACACAGAAGGAATGTGTGCTAATTGGAGCAACCTTGAAACATAAGATTCTCAGTACGCTTTATCTGAATTTCTATAGCAGCGTAACTGATGTGTTTCTTTTTATTAAGACAATAATTATTTCTTGAGGGTAGTACAGTAGAAGGCTGGGGAAGTAAGGGTTGATAATGATAAATATCTAAGCTACATCATGTATTACCTTTGCTTATGTTCAGAAAGTTCTCAATTTACAGCCACAATTGAGCCCAACATTTTGGTTGTTAGGTGAAGCAGCTGCTAAGTGAGTTGCATCTCATTTTATGACCTTCTTTGCCACAGTTCTTAAGTGAATCATTGCAATAATTGAATCATAGTCAATAAGCAAATCTGGCTTCCCGCATTGACTTTGCTTGTGGGAAGCTGCCTGGGAAGGTCTCATGCCAGTTGCCAACCATCTGAATTTTGATCATGTAACCAAGGGGATGCTGCAAGAGTCATAAGTGTGAAAAACAGCCCTAGGTCACTTTTTTGAGTGCTGTTGTAACTTTGGTCACTAAATGGATGGTAGTAAGTTGAGGACTAACTGTATGACTCCTCCTTTGCTTAAATGTATAAATATGAGTACATCCTTTTGTCTGTAGGAATCCCTTCCATTATTTTTGGAGGGAATTTCTCCATTGCATATTGTTCAATAAGTGATAGCTGCAGTGAGCCCTGATTACTTTTTATTGATTCCATTTTTATGCTCGCTATCCAAATGACTTTTGGTTTTGGGTCCTGAGTTTGATTCCACAGAAATGATGGCAGCAGTAAGACTCCTAACTTGCAAACTGTTTTGCAGAGTGTCAGCAGCGTCAGGCGGGAGACAAACACTGGCTATTTAAGGCAGCTTAAGGTGCTCAAGCACACTTACTGCAGACCTTTGCAATTTTCACCTTGCGGCAATGAATTCTAGAGGAAAGCAACGTTTAAACCAATGTTTAAACTGGCGGGGTCTCCAAAATTGCAACTTCAAGACTTGTGGACTTCAACTCCCAGAGTTCCCTATGGCTAGCTGGGGAATTCTGGGAGTTGAAGTCCACAAGTCTTAAAAATTGCCAAGTTTGAAGACGCTTGGTTTAAAACCAAGGAAAGCAGAAACTGACCTCTCTAGGAGAGAATATCTCTCTATCCTTTTTAAGTCTCTATGCTCTCGTGCTTCACCCGCCCTCCCGTCACTGCAGAGCTCCGCCTCTCAACAGTGACGTAACAGCTTCGTCGCCTTCGGATTTCTCCTCCTCCTCCTCCCTCCCCCTACTTGCTTTACGGCCGTCTTGCGCGACGCTCCTCCTTTTCCTCTCCTCGCTAAGATGGCGGTGGCCGGGGTGAGCTTGCGGTTCCCGTCGAGGCCTAGAGTTCATCCGACTGCATCCGGTTACCGAGAGGGTGGTGGCGGCCCCGGAGCCCGGGGCTGGGAAGGGACGAGGGAGGGCCTTGCAGCGGGGAGTCTCGCCAGTGATGGATGAGGCCAGGCGGGCCGGCAGAGCCCGAAAGGGGGGAGTGTCAGGCTGCTCCTCTCTTCCCTTGCCACGCGCATCAGGGGTTTAAACGGACCCGAACGACCAGGACTACAACTCCCATACGTCCCTGCCCAAAGGCCACGCCGTATAGGAGCTGTAGTCCGAGCTGCCTAGGACGAGTTTCTCAACCGTGTCAACTTTAAGAGGTGCGGACTTCAACTCCCAGAGTTCCTCAGCCAGCATAGCATAGCCTAGCATAGCTGGGGAACTCTGGGAGTTGAAGTCCGCACTTCTTAAAAGTTGACACGGTTGAGAAACACACGGGTGGTCTAGCGTTTGTGTGGATGGGGGTTGAGCTGCTTTTTTTTCTCTGACACGTGGGAGGAAGGCAAACCAGCATTTTGGCTTCAGATGAAAGAGGAGAGACTCCCCCAACTCGTAAATTAAGCTATTTTGGGGGCATATTTTGTGGGGATGGAAGAGCATCTGCCTGCAGAAGTGGTGCAGAAGAGGATGACAGGGTGGCTGAGTGGAGCCTCCAGCTTTAGAGGCAGTTGTCCCTCGGTACCTGGTGCAGGAATGGGTGGTTTCCTGGCCTTTGGGCCACTCAGAAATGAATGGACAGGATGATAGGTTTTAGCATCTCTTAACTTGCCTTCCTGGTGCTGCTGGAACCAGAGATAGGTGCCAACTGGCTGGATCCAACGCCAGTTCCTTGTCTTCCAGTGGAGATGTTTTTACATGTTGGGGGTTACTGGATTTTAGGGTGCTAGGTGTTGGCTCAGGAGGGCCCTGCTGTTGAGCAGAAGATCCTGATTTTAGGAGATGTATGAAGGTGGCCCTGGATTTGCACCCAGGTTGGCTTGGAGAGAGCCAGGCTTTTGGGTGGAAGCTCTTGATTTTAGGAGACTCTAGGACAGGGGTCTTCAAACTCCGCTCTTTTATGGCTGAGGGATTCTGGGAGTTGAAGTCCATGAGTCATAAAAGCCGAGTTTGAAGACCCCTTCTCTAGGACCAGGATAAGAAGCAACTGATGGAAATTAATCAAGGAGAGAGAAGCAACCTAGAACTAAGGAGAAATTTCCTGATAGAATAATTAACCAGTGGGACCTCTTGCCTCCAGAAGTTGTGGGTGCTCCATCACTGAAGATCTTGAAGGAGAGACTGGACAGCCATTTGTCTGGGACAGTATAGAATAGCTTGCTTGGGTGAGGGGAGTAGTGTTGAACTAGAAGACCTCCCCTTCCAACTCTGTTAGTTGTGTTATTCTGAGATAAGGTGGTGTTGTGGCAAGGTGGCCCTGAAATTTGCACCCAGAAATGTCTTAAGTCAAGTTGAAAAAGGCCTTTCCAGGTAGAACATCAAGCCATGATTGCATGGTTCAAGTGAAGATTTCCTGTGCATTGTAACGGGTTCTAGGGCAGGGGGGAGAGGGGCCTGGTGGGTGTGGGTCCTGGAGAAAGGAGTGGGTAAGACCTAAACACGTCAATGGAGAATTTCATAGGAGATCATGGACCTTCTGCTGACGTTGCATTCTGATGGTGCCCTGTCTGTTTTGCAGTAGGAAGGTCCACTGGCCACCACAACTGCAGAGTCACCTGCCAAGAGGGTGGCCCTATCAGTTGAATAAATCAATGCAGAGAGCCGTGGCTTCCAGCTGCGGTTGGTTGCTGTACACAGGCTTGATTAAATCGATGAAGACTTGGAAAAAAACTACCTAGCATGTTAAGTTATGGCTCCCTTCTCAGAAAACCCGTAACCCCTCTCTGCTTGCTCCCCTTGCAGACTCTCTACACTTACCCCGAGAACTGGCGGGCATTCAAAGCCCTCATTGCTGCTCAATATAGCGGGGCCAAGATCAAAGTCCTCTCCACGCCGCCCCAGTTCCACTTCGGGCAGACCAACAAGACCCCTGAATTTCTGAAAAAATTCCCAGTTGGAAAGGTGAGCGGCTTTTTTTTCCCCCCTTTGTCTAACTCGAATTATGCCATGGCATTACAGTTCTGGGATTTTTTTGGGGGAGAATGAGAGATGTTTGTAATGGGTGGTTTTGATTCTTGCTAGTTTCCAGGAGATAGTTGGCTAGAGCTGTGAACATTCATTCATTTATTTGTATCCTGCCTTTATTTTACAAATAACTGAAGGTGGTAAACATGTCTGACACACCTTCCTCCTATTTTCCCCACAACAACAATCTTATGAGGTGGGCTGGGCTGAAAGAATGACCGGCTTTCCTGGCTAAGGGGGGATTTGAACTCACGGTCTCCTGCTTTCTACCCTAGTGCCTTAACCACTAGGCCAAACAGGCTCTACGTGCCTGGGGCTTGGCTAAAAAAAAAAAAGGCTGGACCAGGACTAGCCTCGCACAGTTTAGGATGTGATGATCCGTGTATCCAGCAGACTTAGTGCATCTTCAGAACAAGCCAGCTTCCTTTTTGGGGCATCCCTCCAGTTACATATAAGTGAGCAAGTGCAGCAACAATGAACAAGAGCTGGTCTTGTTGAGTCAATGCTGTGTCCTCCAGATCAGTATTTCTCAACCTTGATGACTTTAGGATGCGTGGACTTCTTTGCCCAGAATTCCCCAGCCAGCCATGACTGAGAGATTCTGGGCGTCTGCATCTGAACATAGCAAAAGTTGAGAAACATTCCTCCAGATTTATAACAATAGCAGTTTCCGGTCAACGTTATTGCTTCCTGGGGATTGTGGGAAATTAAGTTGCAGCTCCCTAGATTTTTATTTAAATATCATAAAAGCCTTTCTGACAACAAGGTCTGCACAGCTACAGTACCTATTGGGTTGCCTGTTATCCACTTCGAGAGAATTTTAAGAATAGGCGACTTCTCGTAGTTTAAATCGACATTTCTCAATCTCAGCAAGTTTAAGCTGTGCTGGGAATTGAAGTCTACGTGGCTTGACATTCCTGAGGGTGAGAAGCACCGCTGTGGATGGCACCTGCTGACCTCTTTGGAGGAGAGGCCTCCACTTGTTTGCTCAGAGAGGCACTTTCTCCCCCCTCTGTAGGTTCCGGCCTTCGAAGGGGATGATGGATTTTGCATATTTGAGAGCAACGCCATTGCACACTACGGTAAGTATAAGTCTCTGCTTGTCAGTTTTATCCAAAGTCATTGGGCCAGGTTTACAGCTAGTTAACAGTTCATTTAGTGACCGTTCAAAGTTACAACGCCCCTGAAAAAAGTGACCTGTGACCATTTTCACAGTTACAGCCTTTACAGCATCCCTTTGATCATGTGATCAAAATTCAGATGCCTGACAAGAGACAGACAGACAGACAGGTAGATAGATGATAGATAACCTTTATTGTCATTTTTTACCATGGGCATAATGGCACACATTAAAAATGAAATTTAGTTGCTTGCTCTAACTGGTTCATACACTTATGACCATTGCTGTGATCCCCTTTTGTGACCTTCTGTCCAACGAAGTCAAAAGGGGAGCCTGATTCACTTAATAACCGGGTTGCTAACTTAACAACTGCAGCGATTCACTTAACAACGGTGGCAGGAAAGGTCATAAAATGGGGCAAAACTCCTACAATAACTGCCTTGCTTAGCAACAGAAATGTTGCACTCAATTGCCATTGTAAGTCAAGGGCGACCTGTATGACAATTCAGTTCAGAAATCCCTTGGCAAATGAAATAGATGTAGTCCTCAGCTTACGATTCGGTTGCTTGTGACCCTTTGAATTTAAGACAGAGGGTACTCACACCCTGGTTCCAAAGTCCCAACAGCCACAACCTCTCCCCTGTGACAGCATGTTTGGACAGTCAACAACTGACCCACAGTTACGGCCGAACGCCGCATCCTGCAGTCACGTGACTGCATTCTAAAATGGTTTTGTCGAAAACCATTTATTTTTGGCAAAACCAGCCAAAATCGAACCATGGTTGGCTTAACGACCTCTCCAAACGAGGCCTAAAGAACCTGTTTTAAGACTGATGGGCAGGCTCCACTATGGACTACCTGCGCATCGGCATTGAGGGGAGTTGGGTGACAAGAAAACATACAGGCCGCTAGGAACGGCTTTGTAGAAGCTTTCAGAAACGGTCACTTGTTCTGATTTGAGCTCTCCTAGTTCTGATTTTATTTATAACTGATTCATATTTCTTTTGGGGCATGGTTGCCTAGTTGGAGAAACTTCCATTGTGTTCTGAGGGTGTTTGCCCTTCACCACCAGCCGGAAAGATCCTGTCATAGAAGCCTCTGGAGTAAAAAAAACAAACATTAAAATTCTTCTAGGGGTGAAGTCCCTCATCCCTCAAGAAAGCTCAGATTTTATTTTACTTCCTAAAGCTGGAGAAGGTCTGGATCTGGTAGACACCTGCTCCCATGATTCTCAGCTAGGATGGCCCTTAACTCCTTGGATTGGAAATTCAGAAACCTCTGGCTTAACTAAAGTTGCCAGTGTGTTCTTTTTGATTGTTGGTTCTCTAACTGGCCGGTTTTTCCTCTCCCAGTCAGCAACGAAGAACTGCGAGGTACAACTCAAGAGGCAGCTGCCCAGGTCCTTCAGTGGGTGAGCTTCGCTGACAGCGACATCGTGCCTCCAGCCAGCACCTGGGTCTTCCCCACACTTGGCATAATGCAATATAACAAGCAGGTAAGGGCACTCCAGTCTTATTGAAGAAGATACAGGAGGTTTTAGGGCAGGGGTAGGCAATCTTGGCTCTTTTATGACTCGTGGACTTCAACTCCCAGAATTCCTGAGCCAGCCCTGCTGGCTCAGGAATTCTGGGAGTTGAGGTCCACAAGTCATAAAAGAGCCAAGGTTGCCTACCCCTGTCCTAGGGTATTCCTCAATTTGACAGCAGTTCATTTACTGACTATTCAAAGTTACAACGGCACTGAAAAAAGTGACTTGTGATCATTTTTCACACTTAACGACCGTTACAGCATCCCCATGGTCACGTGATCAGAATTCAGACGCTTGGCAACTGGTCCTAAATTATGACCGTTGCTGTGTCCTAAGCTCACGCGATCCCCTTTTGCGACCTTCTGACAAAGTCAACGGGGGAAGGCAGATTCACTTAACAGCCGGGTTGCTCACTTATCAATTGCAGTGATTCACTTCAGAACTGTGTCGAGAAAAGTCGCAAAATGGGGCAAAACTGACCGAACAAATGTCTCCCTTAACAACAGAAATATTGGGCTCCGTTATGGTTGTATGTTGAGGTCTGCTTGTATTTCCCAAGCAACTAAAAAGCTCTGGAAGGGGGCAGAAATCACTTGGTTTGGAGAGAGGCCTCCATTTCGCTAGTCATGAAGTTCAGAAAACAGGCAGTCCTCCTCTTAACAGTTCATTTAGTGACCGTTCGAAGTTACAACGGCACTGAAAAAAGTGACTTGTGACCATTTTCACACTTATAACCATTGCAGCCTCCCCATGGTCACATGATTTAAATTCAGACGCTTGACAACTGACTCACATTTATGACGGTCGCAGTGTCCCGGGGTCACGTGATCCCCTTTGGCAACCTTCTGATGAGCAAAGTCTATGGGGAAGCCGGATTCTCTTCACAACCGTGTGAATAAATTCAGAACTCCTGTGATTCACTTAACAAATGTGATGAGAATGGTCCTACAATGGGGCAAAACTCACCAAATGTCTCCCTTAGCAACATAAATTTTGGCCTCAATTGTGGTCATAAATTGAGGACTCCCTGTAGATAGCTATAGGGAGTCCTTGACTTGCAACTAGTTGCTTGGTGACTGCAGTTACGATGGACCTCCCTGACATACCATAACTTCAATCAGTCCCTAAGCAAGTAGCTGTAAGTCAAGGACTTCCTGTAGCTATTTACAACCCAGTTCTTCTGGCAGCTGGGGGACACAACACACCCACAGTCACATGGCCAGATGTCGGGTGTCTTGTCACCGGCCTGCTTTTGCAACCATTTACAGTGTCCCTCCGTCACATGACTGCATTTTACCACAGTTTTACGGAAAACCAGGATTTGGCAACGCTATCCCGTAATGAACAAAGGGTTTGCTTTACAACTGCAAAAAAGGGTGGTAAAATCGAGTTGGTCTCATGGGTGACTTGCTTTACAACCATCACAATTGGTGACCTTAATGGGCAGGCTCCATTACAGTCATAAGTCAAGAACTACCTGCACAGGTAGTCCTCAACTTACAGCAGTTTGTTTAGCGACCATTCACAGTTTACAAGGGCACTGAAAAGAGTGAGTAATGATTGTTTTTCACACAGCCATGGCGGCGTCCCTGTGGTCACATGACCAAAATTTGGTGCTTGGCAACTGGCGTGTATTTGTAACAGTTGCCGTCTCCCAGGGTCGTGCGATCCTGTTTTGCAACCTCCTGCAAAGTCAATGGGGAATCCAGATTCCCTTAACAACCATGGCAAGGTTGTAAAATGGGGCAAAACTCACTGAGCGACTGTCTCACTTAGCAACAGAAGTTCTGGCCTCAGTCGTGGTCGTGACTTGAAGACCTCCTCTACTTGAAAACAGAAGTTGATTATATTTTGCAGCCTGTTTCAGTATGTTCAACTGGCTTTGTTTTATATTCCTGGAAAGGCCCTCTGGCTTTTGACCGCCTTTGGGCGACATGTCTGGGGATTTCTGTTTTGGCCCCCTCAATCCCTAGGGCTGACCCCCCTAAAAAATTTTTTTGCTCCCCCTGCAGGCTACGGAGTACGCCAAGGAGGAAGTGAAACGGATTCTGAGCCTACTTGATTCCCACCTGAAGACTTGCACGTTTTTGGTCGGGGAGCGCATCACCCTGGCGGACATCACAGTGGTCTGCACTCTGCTCTGGCTTTACAAGCAGGTGAGTCTCTGTAGGTGGCTGAGGAGGTCCTGGGGGGGGAACGAGGGCTGGTGAGGTGCCTGGGAATGCTGGAGGAGAAAGAGCAGGACTGGGCATTTCCTCCCCCCGTGAGGAATTGTCCCCCGAGGATAAGAGGCTTGTTAGATCTTCTGGACCAGTGATGGCGACCTTTTAGAGACCGAGTGCCCAAACTGCAACCCAAAACCCACTTATTTATCGCAAAGTGCCAGGGCTGCATCAGCATTGTGGTGCCCTCGTGGGGGTGGGGGGCGTGGTCCGCTGGGTGGGCATGGCTGCAGTGGTCACGGCAGACTGGGTGAGCGTGGCATCCCCGGGGGGGGCCAACCCCGCTTGCTCACTGACTTCCTACCCTGTCGCTTCCAAACGCCAGGTGCTCACTATGGTGAACTCTGCTGGGGCAAAAGCGTGTGTGCCCACAGAGTGTCAAGTGTCTGAGTAACGAAACACTTAAAAGGACTTTCAGGCATGTTTTCTCCTAAAAGCATTTATTAATGTTAAAGCCACATCAGCACAGCATGGAGGAATGCTTAGAACTGCTTCTCTTCCGTTACGCATAACATTCCAAACATTTTCCACTCCCTTATTGTAGGGTCATGGTTCACATCTTCCAATCAACTTCTGCACATCTTCCAATCAGTTCTGCACATTGTCAAAGCAAGAATATACAGTATTTGCAGCATTGACACAGAGAGGGCTCTGAGTGCCGCCTCTGGCACACGTGCCATAGGTTCGCCACCAATGTTCTGGACTATAAGCAGGGCCTCCCTTGAATCAGCACCAAAGAGTGCAGGATTAAAGCATGGCAACCTGGCGTGACGGCTCATTTTTCATCAGTGAAGGAAAACTTTTGAAGCTCAGGGTTGAAATGAAGGCTCCTTGGTGCGCTCTGAGCTTGCTTGTTTCCTTGTTTCATGACTCTAAACTTCAGGCAATGAAATGCCTGCAAGGAAACAAGCAAGCTCAGAGAGCACCAAGGAGCCCTCATTTTTCATCATCCCAATTTTGAGGTTGTGTGAAAGGAAAAAGGACCTTTTCACCAAATCCAGGAACAGCGTGGAAGATCCGGACAGCTGGTTGAACATCACTTGGCTGTCTCCCTTAGCAACCAAATTTTTGAGCTGAATTGTGATCATAAATCGAGGGCTACCTGGAGCAACTTGATTGCACATACAAGTGGCCCTGCTTGACCTACAACTGTTAGCTTTAGTTTGAAGTTACAAAAACCCTCCCCAGGGGCTCCTTGTGACCCAGATTTGAAGTTCCGATAACCAATTTTTCCCTGCATCACATGATTGCATGTTGGACACCCGGCAACTGTTTGCAACGCCCTGTGGTCATGTGAACCTGATTTACCACCTTTTTTGTGGTGGTTGCAAAGCAAACACTGGTTTTTAAGTAAATCCGTGGTCGGTAATGGGCTTTCTTTGTCGGAAACTTGTTAGTTTCCTGCAAGGAGTCCATTGCAGAGCTTAAGACCTGTGCGTTCTTTTTACAATTGCCACTTTCGCTTAATGGTTGTAAAATTGCTGTGTGCTTGTGCATGTGAGTGAGAGAGAGATCGCATGATGGTCCGTTTAATGACTGGCATGATTTACAATCATGATTCTGGGCTCAGTGTCGTAAATCGACAACAGCCAGTAATCATAAGTTATGTGACACGTTCATAGTCCTGGTTTTTCACTTTTGTCTAGTCCATCTTGAAAGAAACCGATTGCGTGTGGCTTGAGCTGTTTCTTGCCTTTTCTCCCTTTTTCAGGTTCTGGAGCCCCCCTTCCGCCAGCCTTACGAAAATGTGAACCGTTGGTTTGTGACCTGCATAAACCAGCCCCAGTTCAAGGCCATCCTGGGGGACTTGAAGCTGTGTGAGAAGATGGCGCAATTTGACGGTCAGGAAATTCACCCGTGATTTTCTTTTAAATGGCCATTCTGTCTGTTAAGGTTGCAAAAGGACAGCGGCAGAGTGGGATGGATGTGTTGCGAGCAGCTTACACCAGCCCTGCGCTTAGCGTAGCTTTAATTCCTTCCCATGAGTTCCAATTATTTTGAAAGACAACAAGAACCCCTACTGTTGTATTCTGCTCGTAGGAATCCGTCATGCAGAATTGTTTTTTTTCATCCTTTATAACAGTGGTTCTCAACCTGTGGGTCGGGACCCCATTTGGGGTCGATCGACCATTTCACGGGGGTCGCCAAGCAAGGCTGTCCGCCATTTTTTTTGTCCGCCATTTTTTTTNCTTTTCCGGCGGGTGCCTTACCTCCCTTGGGCTGGGCCAGCTGGTGGTCGGCCTGCTCCGTCTCTGCCGCTTGCCAGCTACGCCTCGGCCGGCGCAGGGGGCGGAACCACGCATGTGCGGCGCTCCCGGGCAGGGAAAGTCCTCGACTTACGACCGGTTGGGTAGTCCTCGACTTATGACCGGTTTAGTCCTCGACTTATGACCGGTTTAGTCCTCGACTTACAGCCGGTTGGGGTCGCAGCATTAAAAAGGTTGAGAACCACTGCTTTATAACATTTGCAGACCCGGGGGGGGTGTGGAGGAAATGGTTCCGTACGAGCGGCAGGCGCTCACAAACGCAGCTCCATTTGTGCCAGCGGCTCACACAAACGGAGTTTCACGCATGAGACAGAATGCCCAGCGCTCACGCAAATGGAGTTGCGAGCTTGCCACTTTTGCAACCTGATTCCAAACTGCCCACAGCCTAGGGGTTGGGGACCCCTGCTTTACAGGTAGTCCTCGACATAACAACAGTTCATTTAGTGACTGAATGTTCAAGATTACAACGGCACTGAAACAAGTGACTTATGACCTTTTTTCACACTTAACGACCGTTGCAGCATCCCCAGGGTCATGTGATCGAAATTCAGACGCTTGGCAACTGACTCGTATTTATGACAGTTGCAGTGTCCCGGGTCATGTGATCACCCTTTACAACCTTCTGACAAAGCAAAGTCAACAGGGAAGTTGGGTTAACTTAACCGTGTTACTAACTTAACAACTGCAGTGATTCACTTAGCAACTGTGGCAAGAAAGGTCGTAAAATGGGGCAAAGCTCACCTAACAATTGTCTCACTTAGCAACAGAAATGTTGATCTCAATTGTGGTTGCAAGTTGAGGACTACCTGAATTTAAAGCCCGCCAATCTTGGGAAAATAAGTAAGCTTAGCCTGTGGAAGGAATAGCGTGCATTTCACTGCCCGTTTCTGACTTTGGCTCTGCAACTTCCAGGACTAAAATTAGAACACGAAGAAGAAAAGTGTCCTATTTCATGTTTGCTCTGCTTGCTGAAAGGTGGGCTGGTTCAAAAATTGGGGGCCTTTGAAACATTTCCTGAAGGGGCCCCGTGCATTTAAAAATAATCAAACAACGAATCAGCGAACACCTAGAGGCAAACAAAATCACTACTAAAAGCCAACATGGGTTTGTCAAAAACAAATCATGCCAGACAAATCTTATTGCATTCTTTGACCAAGTGACAAAATTAGTGGATCAGAGGAATGCTCTGGATATAATTTACTTGGACTTCAGTAAGGCATCTGATAAAGTAGATCACAACCTACTACTCGATAAGATAGAAAAATGTGGGTTAGACAGCATCACCACCAGATGGATTCGTAGCTGGCTGACCGGCCGTACTCAGCGTGTGGTCCTCAATGGAACCACATCTACATGGAGGGAAGTGTGTAGTGGGGTGCCCCAAGGCTCTGTTCTGGGCCCAGTGCTCTTCAACATCTTCATCAACGATTTGGACAAGGGGATAGATGGGGAACTCATCAAATTTGCCGATGACACCAAGTTGGCAAGAATAGCCAACACTCCAGAAGACAGGCTTAGGATACAGGAGGACCTGGACAGACTTGAACACTGGGCGCTATCTAACAAAATGAAATTCAGTGGTGAAAAAAGTAAGGTTGTACATTTAGGCAAGAAAAACCAAATGTATAGGTATAGTATAGGGGGTACCTTGCTCAATAGTAGTAACTGTGAGAGGGATCTTGGAGTCCTAGTGGACAACCATTTAAATATGTGCCAGCAGTGTGCTGCAGCTGCCAAAAAAGCCAACACAGCGCTGGGCTGCATTAACAGGGATAGAATCAAGATCACGTGGAGTATTAATACCACTTTACAAGGCCTTGGTAAGGCCACACTTGGAATACTGCATCCATTTTTGGTCACCACGATGTAAAAAATATGCTGAGACTCTAGAAAGAGTGCAGAGAAGAGCAACAAAGATGATTAGGAGACTGGAGGCTAAAGCATATCAGGAACGGTTGCTGGAATTGGGTATGTCTAGTTTAACAAAGAGAAGGACGAGGGGGGACATGATACCAGCGTTCCAGTATCTCAGGGGCTGCCCCAAAGAAGAGGGAGTCAAGCTATTCTCCAAAGTGCCTGAAGGCAGGACAAGAAGCAACGGATGGAAACTAATCAAGGAGAGAAGCAACCTAGAACTAAGGAGAAACTTCCTGACAGTGAG